CATATATGACGTATTTAGATTTGTCGCAAACTAAAATCTCTCTAAAATCGTTATTTATCAACAATAGTGGAATTTTCTTTCATATCTACGTTCGTACGTTTAGAGAGCATCGAATGATGTAGTATTTGTGAATATGAGATTCATTAATAAAAATTTTCATATATGACGTATTTAGATTTGTCGCAAACTAAAATCTCTCTAAAATCGTTATTTATCAACAATAGTGGAATTTTCTTTCATATCTACGTTCGTACGTTTAGAGAGCATCGAATGATGTAGTATTTATGCGTATGTATGATACGCTGTAGTTAGAAAAAAAAAGTTTATTCGAAGGAGTAAAAATATATAAATATAAACATTTACAACAGTATTATATTATAATATAGTATATATAAATATAAATCAAAAATGAAAACGTTTGAAGGGCACAATTTTTATCTTATGTCTTCGAAAACAATATTCGAAAATTATATAACAACAATGTTCTCGTTTTTTTTTTTTTTTTTTACAATATCACCCAACTGAACGGTTTTGGGACTGTGTTTTATGTTTTTATATCTTAGTCGACGATGAAAAAAAAAAAAGTAAAAAACAATAATAAAATATTTACATCATATTTACAAATAGTTATCACTATCTGGTGTGTTATGAAACGCATCGTCAGATCGAACGTATCGCGTAACCCTACGTGAATGTAAAGCTTTACACGTGTGCACAGGTGTCTCCGGCGGGGCGCGTCGGAAATCCGCGGGATCCTCTCTCACGCTGTCCGCAGCGGCGTGTACTTGACACGGTTTTGGTCCGGGGTGGCGGTGGGCACGTTCGTGTAGTGCGGCATGCTGTCGAACAGCTGTTGCACTTTGTCCTCGACCTCGTCGAAACACTGCGGTCCCTCGGCCACGGTCTTGGTCCCAGTCCCGTTGAATCCGAACAACCCGGGCTCGACGGGGTGCTGCTGCTGCTCCTCGACGGGGTCGCTCGAGATCGTTTCCCGAAGGTTGCCGTCCCCGCGGCCGCCATCGGACGTGGGCGAGGGCAGCGCGGCCACCGAGCACGCGATGCCGGCCATGCACCGGATGGTGGACACGCCCAACGCTTGCGACGGCCGGTGCTGTTGCGCTTCCGTTTCCTCCATGATGGTCTCGGCCGCGGATGTCATGCCCAGCGGTGAGTAGACCACGTTACCGTATTCGTGGCCCGCGAACTCTACCGGTGATCTGCTCTGGAAGAACGTCGAGAACGAGGGCTGCGCGTCGAAGTACGACGAAGACGACTTGGACAGCTAAATGGAAACGGTCATCATGAACATCGGTTTTATTATAATACATAGCGTTATTAATGTCGTACTTTCGTTTTTAAAGTACACATAAACATTTTAAATTGAATGTAGGAACTTTCTTTTTATTGTAAGACTAATTTTGTGTTTAATTACAATAAGATTGGCACGACGATCTCAATTACGTCAAAATGTGATATTGTCCCTTGTCTCATCAAGCCATAGATAAGTAACTTAATAAAATACGTAGTGTATCAATACGATTTCTAACCGCGAAAACAGATCAACGTGATATTTGGGTACCGCTCAGTGAAACGTCTGTGGACCGAACGCTAACCGAGAAGTCATGATCCACGGGTATTAAATAATAACAATATAATATAATGATGTGGATGTTTAAAAGCTGCATTTTTAAAATTACTCAATGCAAAAATCGTAATAAATATTTATCCAGTCAGAACCGATACAACTAATAATGAAGTTAATTTTGTGCTAAATTTCCGAATTTCATTGTTTTTAATTCGTCCGGTTTTTGATTTATTTCTTTATCGATAGTCTCTCTCAACCAACTCATTTCAATTATTGATGAACAGTTTTTTTTCGTATATTGTGAATAGAAAATTGTAAATAACTGTGCTCGAATTACCTTGTCGTCATTCAAGTTTTCCAAATGAAACGTATTGTTATCATTCGCGCTGTTTGTACTCACTGTACTGGATTGGCTGCAAGAGGTAGAACCTGCACGATAAAAATTAATTTGGTTTTAGAAAAATTGAAAGTTTAAAATAATACAATTTCATTGCACAACTTACTGCTAGAACTTTGCAAACTTATACTACTAGATGGTCTTAACGATTGTTTTTCCGAACTCATTGCTCTTGTCAAATTTTCATTAGAATATCCGGATTCTGTAAAATATATTTTCAGTTGAAAAAATGTGATTTAATAAAGCAGATTAAAAAATCAAGTGTTTGTATTTATTTATTTCCACAAAATGTAAAATTATACATTTGAAATGTATAAATCTGTACTTATTTCAAAACTGTTCGGTGTGAAACAAGAAATATATTAAATCAATATTCCTTACGTTTAGATTTGTTTTTGCTAAAGAATTTTCTAATGCGTTCAAACGGTGTTGGTCGTTTCAAAGTGTCTTTCATGCGCTGTTGGATTTGATCGTATTCAGCTCTCATTTGATCGAGTTGTTCCTGTAGTATTTCAAACGGATAATTAAAAAAAAATCCTCGTTAAACTACTCATCGTCTGTGAAAGTGTTTTATATTGCTTGCCTGTTTCTCTTTAAACGACTGTTTCACTTCGTGTCGATTTTTCCACATTTCGACAATGCTTTCAACCTCGTTGATAGTTAAGACTTCGTTTTTGAAATCGTTTATGATCTCCAGGAGTTCGTCTTGCGGTGTGGACAGCGTCTGATTACTGCCTGCTTGTGCAAAAAATTCGATAAATATAATGTGGTCATAAGTTATAAATCGTCATCCATGGTACCGGTAGAACGAAACGTACCACGAGATCCGTGTATCGGTAAATCGGTTGGTCTTTGGGCCATTTTGCCACTAACAGGGTCGGCGAACGACGCAATCCCTCGCAACTGATTGTACGAACCGATGTCTGGAAAAAAAAACAAACGGTAAAGCAACGTCGTATGAAACGCGTTTCACCGGCGGGTCCGAGACTTACTGGAACTCATTTCCAGATAACCACCGTGCGGTCCGGGCCCGTCAACGGGGGAAGAGGGCACTGACGGTGGACTGCCTGAATACCAGTTGGACCCGGGGCTGTACGGTCTGCCGTTGGTGGGCACCTGGTAGTTGGCCGAGAAAAACGATTGCGGCGGCGGTGGCACCTGGTAGTTAAACATCGCCAAGTTCGTAGGCGAAGACTTCACGTTCGTGTAGTTGGGCGTGCTCGTGGTCGGCTCCACGGGCCTGGGCGCGGGTGGTATCAGATAGTTGTCGTCCAACGGCTGAGGCATCAGGTAGTTGGCGTCCTGCGACCGGGGCGTCAAGTAATTGGCGTCCAGCGGACGCGGTTCCGGGCCCGGCGACTGGGGCACCACGTAACTGGAGTCAGGCGGTGGCGGAGGGGGCATCCCGTAACTGGCGGTGTCCGGCTCGTCGTTGCAGGATTGCTGGGACTGTTGCAAGTCCTGGGACTGTTGCGGTGGCTCCTGCGGTTGCTGCGACTGCTGGGCGGCGTGCTGGGACTGATGGTGTCCGTCTGATATCCCTTTCAGTATGCTGTACATGCTGGTCAGTTCGGTCATTTGCATGTGGCCTTTTAATGCTTGCGCCAACTTTTGGTGATTCGATGCCTCTGCCATGTCGACAGGCGTCATCTGTGATACGTTGCGTATCTGACACGCTTGTTCGCCGCCCGGGCTGTCCAATAGCTGCCACATCAGTTTCTCCAGGCCGAATTTCGCGGCAAAGTGAAGCATTGTTGGATACTCTTCGTGGCCTAAAACGTGATCAATAGTTTTTAAATTGTAAACATTAACGGTGCATAACACGTTATGTTTTTCGTAGGTAATGAAAAGCTAAACGTTATCGCGAGTCGGTGTCGAACTCACTGTATTGCGGTCGAGACCCCACACACTGAAGGAGATGAAAATTAGGAGGAACGTTTTTCAGATAAGCCGAAGCCAAAAACGAGTCCAATTGTTCTTTATCAGCGGGATGCAAGCCGAACGTCTGAAGGCATACACAGATTTGATAAAATTTCTCTAGAGTATAAAATTATGTTGCTATAAAAAATAAATAAATATCTTCTAACCTGACACAAAAAATTCAATGGACTATCCAGCGATCGTAATAGTTGATCCAATTCTCTCATGCGGCTTTCGCATTTTACAGAACGTCGACCCAACAGTTGGCCATTTTTCTCAACGATTATATTGACTAAGACGGATACTTGCAAACAGCTCACTAAATAAAGGAAAACGATTATTTTTATTTGAACAAATACGCGTCGATAGTGTGAACAAGTAACAATAAAATTTGTCAATGATGAAATCACAAGGCTCCAAAAAAGGGCTGATTTTCAATTTATTCTGAGTCAATTTTAGGCAAATTTACTTAAACATGCTTGTATACATACATGGCATTCTAAATTGTAATGTATATGGATTTCTTTTTGTCACATTTGTTACTTCTATCTTGTGTCCGTTTTTATCCACAGTGATAACAACGTTGTCTTCGGGTATTAATGGTTCGGATAACAAGACGATAACTTTGTTTTGGCCCTAAAAAAATCCATTGAATGCAATAAAATATATATTCTACGATAAATATCAGTTTTCACGAAAGAACGGAACTTGAGCGGAAAACCAAACTCTTCATCACAGTACCAATTGATCTCCCGCTAGTGAAAAATAATGCGAGAAATGGTACCGTCCTCCCGTGGAATCAAGTTTCACTTACGACTTTAATTTTTTTTGGAGTTATGGAAAATTTTGTATCCTCTTCGGTTATACCCAATGATCGTGGAGCATGTGTAACGTTGTTGAGAATATCCATAGACACTCCATAAAAATCTCCAACAGATTCTCGATCTTGATCCTTGACAACCATCTTTCTCCATTCATCGTAATCGACTAATACTGCAATCATCAAACACAATAGTAACGTTGCGTGTAACTATCATAACATCGTTTCGTTCGTAACACACACATTTTTTGATACATTCGTTAATTTAGTTAATACAAGCAAGGGTATCGAAATATATAACATTTCCAAAATTACTCTAATACACTAACCAGTCTTGTGTTGATCAGTCAGGTCGTTTTCTGTAACGCCGACTAATAAGGCCAGCATACGATTGGTTTGCAACAACGCACACAAAGAATCAGAACGACCGGAATGTGCGAGCACTCGTTCTAAAAATATTGGACAAACCAGTACGATTTGTAGCCGAGCTTGACTGCACCGCTCCTGACGAGGTGCTGACATTACACCGGATAACACATCTTCTAATCTCACTCTTTGAATTCTACATACAACGAATAAAACAATACGTCAATGGAATACTTAAAGATTTTTTGACTAAAAATATTTGATCACATTTCGAAACCAACAGAGGAAGTGGTGGTATTTCTATGAAACACACGTTTCTTGTTTACAGAATTTGTACAGTACACAATCAAAATACGAAATAAACTCTGAAATATCAACAAACGACCAACAAACCATAGTTCTGAATACGACTCTCGTATATTATTGGCTGCAGTGCTTAATGTTTACATCATAATGTTTTATCAGTATTTAGGTATTTCACAAAAAAAATTTTCTAATAATATTATTTATTATTTATTAATTATATCTAGGGAACGGATTTATATGTAAATACATATTTTTATTAAAATGAGATATTTAAAATTTGATAAGAAATGTTCATGATTTAAATCATTCCTATTAATATGATGCTACTTTTATTTTACATATTTTTACATATTTTGGTATAATTACATATTTTTACATATTTCACTAATTTGTAAATATTTTTAAACATATTTTATTATTTCATCATTCATACGTCTTCTTCGTACAAAAATACAAGAAATTATTTCAAATTTAGATCCAGAACTTCTATCGCTATTAGAAAAGCTCAAAATATTATGCAAAATGAAACATTGAAAACTCATTTAATTTTCATCTCAGTGAATTTTAGTTTTATTGCACATACATTTACAAAATAAGAAACAAAAATATGTCCTTGAATGAAAGTATGCAAATTGTCGAATCAACGATTGCAAAATGAAAACTCGTAAACGGACCAATAGGCGAAGTTGTAAAAAAGAAAATTCATGTTGTTACAGAAAAAAATTTCAGGCCATATTGATTATAAATCAATCAATGACATAGAGTGGCAGACACCCTTCTAAAATTTTGGAATTATCGCCTTCTAATATTATGCCCTTCAAATATGCTTAAATCAACCGATGTAGGTTGATGTGGAATGATCATTTAGCCGTTTTAAAAATATTTTCAGATCTAATAGGCGATATTTAATATTTAATAATTTAAAATTGTAATAATTCAATGCAACAAATTATTTTGATAATTTAATAATTATAATTTTTTTTTTTTTATTAAATTTTTTTCCTACATATTTGGATGGTTTTAGCACATATTTTATACATTTTACTTACATAAATATGTACATATTTATGTATTTTTATTACATATAAATCCGTTCCCTAATTATATCGTATGCTATTGGTGTGTAGTTACAACATTTTTAGTTTAAACCATGAACTCATCTTACACACAAATATATAAAAGTATACTTTTGTATGTGATACACTATACTTAACTGTTGTTATTAAAATTTGTTTCATCTAGAAAAACGAATCATATACAAATATGTAAATAATGTACAATCGTATTTACTTTATAATGATTTATGTGAAATAATCGGAAAATAATTATTCACTTTTAAACGTTTGTACTTTAAACATGCATCTAAATTACAGTGTCATTAAAATATAACGAGTAAAGAAACAGTTTAATCATGTTAGAAAACTACCTGTTATATGGGCTATTATACTTTGAATATTGGATAGATTCCAAAAATATGACTAACAGTGTGTGTCTTAATAGTTTATAATAAAGCATATTTAATTCTAAGAATCACTCTGAAATACTTATAAATATATTATAATAAGGAGTTAGTCACTTAATGTTTCTATAAATAAATTTACAATGAGCATCTGTATTTTTTTATACAAGGTACTATATTTACTCATGATAAGTACCGTAACGTATTAATTTCTAGAATTTTCAGCTTCGTGCAAAATAATTATATTTATAGCTTTCTATGAAGATATACCGGTAATATTATAAAATTATCAAGAAACTTTTCTTTAATAAAATCCAAAACGAATTTTTTTTGTCGTTGTTCTCTTTTATTGGATACAACAGTTGTAATACTAAATACACACTTATAGTTACTAAACTTTAAATACATTGAAATCTAAAATATTTTTTGCGACCTGAAAAATAATTCTTCAGCTTACTGTAGTAAAACAATCATCGTTCAGAGATTATGTTTACAGATAATATGATTATAACATATTCCGATTTTGTGACTGAATTCGCCAGAAAATTATGTTTCGGAGGAAATAGTTAACAAAAAATTCAAAAACGTCAACATTGATTACAATCAGTGTTTTATAAATAAATAAATATATATATGTATTTCAACATTTAAAATGGTTTACATCTTTCATGTGTAAAGATATATTAAACCGATATTCTTTATAATAAATAACCGTTGGATTGGAGTATAGTAAAAATATAATTAGGACGAGTACTAATTGGTGCTACTCTAAAATTGTTGAAAAAATGTGTACTGTTTATAAACTATAGTATAATAATAGTATAATAATTATACTATAGCAAATTATTGTACTATAATTATTATAGTTTTATGTATTAAAATAAACGTATATGTATATATATATACAAGTATATAATGTCATATTTTTTATCTACCATTTATACCACTGAAAATATTATGTAATACTCATATGCATTTATTTATTTATTCTATGTAGTAAGTGAAATCAATGAATCTTATTAATTACTGAAATCAGTAATCAATGAAATTATAAAATTATTTAATGTATTATTCCAAAGAAGTTATTATTGTTAATTGTAAACGATTTAATAACGGTAATTAAATGTCGATACGGAAGTTATTGTTAAAGTATTGGGGGGAGGGTCATCTGGACCTATGTGTAGCTGTACAAAATTTAATTTAAATTAAAGTCTAATATCAAATAGTGTACGCAATTAAATGCTTATTAAATATGATTTATTTTAATTTTAATACAAGGAATTAATCTTGCTGTTATTAAGTGTTTAAACCTAATCCATCATTCCCATATTTACCTGTATTGTGCTTTGTTTTCTTTTTGATTGAAGTGTTGAAAACATTGAATAAGGAAATTAATCCACATCATGGCGGCTTCACTATCACCACTCGAGATGATGACGATATCCGGACTGTCGGACTTCATACCTGTAGAACATGAAATAATCAGTCACCATAAAAGTATACATATTTACATTATTAAACCCTAAAACGTCTGCGAGGGACTAGTGGTATATATATATATATATATATATATGTATGTGTGTGTGTGTTGTGTGTTTTCCACAAATCCGTTATCTAAAAGTATATTTCCGAGTATACACGTTTCTTCACTATGCTTTTGTAAAATATATTACTGTAAGACGTTTTTTATTTTTCATTATTTATAGGACAGGAGTTTCCTTCCTGTTGACGTTTCGAACAATATCATCATACCCATAACGTATGCACAACACGCGTCACCCTGACCAATTAAGTAAGTCTGCTATATACGCGCGCTGTACTCGCAGCCCCGTAATACGCGATCTGCATTCGGCACTCATTTTATTATTTTACACCCGGTACATCGTCCGACGTAATATAATTGTAAGAGACAGCGATAGTGAGAGGAGCACGTGGACTGATCGTGTGAGGGAGGGTAGGTGGCGAAAAGGATGTGGGGCGCCATCGTCCGGTGCGAGACGTTTCAAGCGAACATACTGCATGGTAATGGTTCGTTTATAAATTCGTACTGAATATTGTACCGACGTGACGATTTGACGATTATTACGTTCACGTGGAAATCGGTAATGTGATTTTAAGACTCGGCACGTGGTTGGCACTTGCAATCGGTATTATTATTATATTACTTGATTCGAAATCAAATTTGAGTACGTTGGGTTGAGTCAATATTATCCACACATCGATATCTTCGAGAACTGATTATTTAACGCTTTCAAATCGAAAATGGTATTTTTTGCACATGCAGATTGATCGTAATTTATATCTTAATTTTAGAACGTGATGTTTCACATTGATACATTAAAAATACAGCATCAACGGGCAATAAGCATGCGTATTGTAATTTTAATTTTTTTCAGAGAACTTTAGATGAGTGATTTATTTTTAAATAGAAAACATTTCATTGAAAAATATAACAAAATTCGTATGTAATTTAAACGCAAATATTTTATAAATTAAAACTTCTAAAGTTGACCACAAAGAATGAAAAAATTCAACTAATCATAATATATTAAAACCCAAAGCTTTTAAAATAAAAACCGATCGTTAAATATCTATTGTAAATCATTACGATAAATCTGTTGTGGATAATAAATCGGCAATCATCTAAGACATGCAAGTAGACAATCTTCCTCAAACCTATTGAAATTCAATTAAACTCATTAATTACAAATTTGGTGGTCTATAATCTGTAGATATTTTGATGAAATCGGAGTACTGTAAGTATTAAAAAACTGATATATAATGAAAAATAAATTGCCAGTGGTTTAACTCATTATACCATTAAGTCCAGTTTTGTATTAAAATGTATTAAAAATCAAAACAGTTCTTAAATTGTTCAATACGTTTTGCTTATAGCCCGAAAGTAGCGTTCAAAAATTAAAAATAAAAATGACGTTGCTGTAAAATCATTAATAATAAGCTAATAAGATTTTTTTTATAAATCAACATGAACACTATTAATCGAACAGTTTTGCATGTCCGCAGATCTAGGATTAATCAACACTCGATTTCATGTGACTTGGTTAATATTTGAGTCGAAAATTACTTTGAAATTCTATAGTTTAGTTTCTCGTCGACATTCATGTTTTTTGACGAACCGATAAAGATCTCTAGAGATATTATGATGACAAAAAATTATCATACGACCGATCAGGGTTCGCGTTAAAAATCGTTTCAAAACTCGTGAATGGTTGTTTTAAAAATTAAATTTTACGATGAATCGAAAACCATCAAGCGCGGCGACCGGGGGAGCGAAAATGAAACAGTCGGTTTTCACCTGGTAACTTTCTCGGTGATGTCCGATGGTGGCGCGCGAGCGCCCGGTTTAGGAACGGTACACGTGTCGATGTATTACGGTTCTGATGGCGCGAGGAAAATCCTGAGCAAAAAAAAAATCGCTGGTGCAAACGTATGCGCGTAAAAAACTTACTCGTGTCGACGACGTCCATTACAACCATTTTTCGTACCTCTTCTTTAGAAACAACGGTGCACCGCGTCCGTCCGCCCTCCGCGCACGTGGTGCAGAAACGGTGAGAAAAAAAAAAAATAAAAAAAATGAAACCAATCGTACGGCGTGCGCGAGCGTTCACAGCGAGTCACACATGGACAACAGTTTGACGAGAACGCATTCGGACCGGATGAACTGGCGGACGACGTGCGAGCGGGTACACGCTGCGCTACCGAGTGCCGCGACGGAAGCGATCAGACACATCGCAGGCGGCCGTGTCGCACTGACGCGGTTTTTCGGGCGGCAGACGCGATAAACCGTTTACATTTCCCCCCCCCTCCGCGCTACGCGCACGGCACGACGGTGCACGTATCCACTCCCCGACGCCACCCCTCTGCGAGCCCCTACCGCCGCCGTCGACGGTCTTAATTAATTTCCGTTACCGTATAACGTACACGCATTTCGAACGGACGCGCGCGCACGGGCTTCTTCGCTCATCCGACCGAGGCGTCGCGAGCACCGGAATCACCGCCGCCTCCGGCGCGTACACTTACGGCCCAATTCGATCGCAGCACGTCTGGACGACCACATCGGTTCGCGAAACATCCCCGCGGGTTCGAAGCGGAGCCGCGCGTTGAGCTACCCCGCGGCAAATCAAAACACGCCGCCCTTAAGAAAATCACGGTTGAAAATAAAAAAATAATATGCACGTAATAGAAACAATACGTACTACAGTTGTACAGTCGTACGAGACAAAATTATAATCTTATCCTTTTATTTTATGTTGACGCTCAAAAATTTGCCGCCCCGGGGCAATGCCCCTCTTCCTCCCCCCCTTAAGCGCGGCTCTGGTTCGAAGCGCCAATCGATTTCGACATTTTTATTATTATTATCAATTTACCTAAAACTACCGTCGACGGATTTCCACCCGTAGAAACTTTCCCGTTTCGATCGAACCCTGGGATTAGTTTTCGGTCATAACTGTGGCTGGGATTTTGAAACAAATACATTTTATTTCTGGTGTACCGATACGTAGGTATATTTTTTTATTTTTTAGAGCATTAAAATTCAAACCGTGGTCATAACAATTAGAGTTCGAAATCAATTATTAATATATGAACGGTACGTTTTGGATTCGATGAAATCCGTAAGATCTCTGTGGTTGTTATTTCACAGTAACCGATGTCGAGACTTGCTTCTGATCATTTACTGTGAACATCCGAATAACATATTTATATAACAACAATGTTTCATAAGTGAAACCGACTGCATTCAAAATCTTTATTCTTATCGTTGCGTATCGTAAAAAAAAAATTTAGATTGGTGCAATCAGTAGCATACATTCAATTTTCTTAAAGGGGAGGATGAAATAGGGATTTATCCCAAACCCCTCAAATTACCATTTGATACTTAGAAGATTATAATCATGTGTCAAAAGTGCGGTTCTCTGGATTTAATCAATTTTCTCTGTACTTCTATAAATCCGACAATATTGTTCTACGGATATCTATAGTACAGTATGTTAGATAAACTAAGTGGAATGAATATCAACTTTTATTGTTTTGAGTATGGACTTTCCGAGTGGTTTTTAACGAAAATTTTTTGCAACATTTGTTTGATTTAAATATCAATTAGTTTTCTATGGGTTATAAGGAAATTATAAAGTTTTTTATACGTGAAATAAATAAAATTTAAAACAAAATAGAGGTAAAGTTAGGGGTAAAATATTATTTATTAAGTCAATAATATTGAAATTTATAATTATTTTAACGTTAGTGCTCTTAACCTTTTTTTATTGTATTTAATAAAACCCCACGTTATTTAAAATTAAATATATATTTTTTTAAAAATAACTTTAATGCGTGCAAGAAATTTAAAGTATTTTTAAACTATTAACTGAGACATAAATCCAATATGAATGTGTGGACATTATTTTATGAGTTTTAAAGTAATAGCTTCAACATGGTTTGCAAAATTACAAATTGTCAAACGAAACTTTAATATATTTATAAAAAAAACTCAACAAATTTAAAGTATTTTGACACGTAAGAAATGTATTCTAAGTCATCATGAATTTAAATAAATAGGCTCTCTTAATGTATAAATATAATATTATACAATAAATAATAATTATCCTACCTAGACTACAACTTCCAAAATAACTTGTTAATAATTGTTTATATGTAAGTAAAAATAAATAGAATACGTGAATAATAAAAATAGTTTAGAGTTATAGAGTTTTTATGATCTTCCTAATACATTCAGTTTAATAAAGAATATTTTAATATGCAACTTAACTGCGGTAAAGTCGACTTACATAAAATATAATAATATTAATTGTAAATGACAATTCGTGATGAGTGGCGATTATATCCGATATTTATTTTATTATCATTTTTATTATGGTTAGTTTAAAATTTCTAAAATTACTAGCAGACGAATACCTAGACAAAATGAAAATTTGGTTACGGGACCTTGACAGTTCGACATTTAAGTTACATCAAAGCACATTCACCAGTACTCCCTTTCCCTGTTATTCCTCTTCGAACAAGTTCCCTATAAATTTTTAATTTTAACTTTCAAACTTAATATGGTAAACGATTGTGAAGACGTTTTTTTTATAAAATAACGGTAAATCGTTTGGTAAAATATCGTTTTGTTCGTACATTTGTGAAAGAAACGTAATCGAACAATTTTTTTTGTAAAAAAGTAAAAAGTTACTTTAATTGTACCTAGGAATCAAACATGTGCATTATGTAGTTATTTTCATTCGCTCGACTATTTAACAATAACTGACTGCCGCCGCCGGTAGGTGTGTGATCTATTCGGAGAAATACTAAAACAGTATGAAGTTCATAACAGGAAGTACAGTCGATAAGCAACATGTTAGTCGGCTTGATGAACTTTAGTATAAATACATCGAATCGGATTCACAAATTATAACACACATATTACATTATGATGTACTCCTTACAGA